AGAACTCATTTTGGAGCATCAAACATCTGTCTTTTCATCAAATCAAGCATTGTTGTTCTTGAGTTCAAGGTCGTAAACCCTTCAAATCTTCAAGGGCCAAAATCAGTTCACGGTCGTAAACCCTTCAAATCTTCATATTTCACCAAGAACAGGCCGTGAACCATTCAAAGACCGTAAACCCTTCAAAGACAGTAAACCGTTCACGACCGAGAACAGTTCACGACCGTATTCCCTTCACGGCCGCAATCAGTCCTACATCGTGAATCTTGGCTGCAAAACCCACCTTTCCTCCTCGATCAAGCCTCGGTAACATTCCTCAACCAAAAACAAGTGTTTTATAACACTTTAACTAATGGATTTACTAATTTAAATGCAAATATGTGTTTAATTATTATTAGGATTACGTTAACTACGTGTACAACAAACTCGAGGGTCATCATTTCCAGTCTTGTTGTCCGGCTCTTACACGCAACCAACAGTGACTTCATATCCCTACGCTTTTACTATTTTAACGTTTTCAGGGGGAATACAAGCCAAACACAAATAGTTTTGTGAACTTTATACACAGAATTTCAACAGGACTAAAATTTATGCAATTGACACAATCAACAGATCACCACATTTTATAAAATATTTAGATATTTTATCCCTTTTGTAGCATGCTGAGCCTAAGGGAAGTTTTCAACTCATCACCATAATTGCATAGTTTTCAGAACAATATATGAACCGACTATTTAACACACATGCAAACTATAATAGGTATAGTTTGGGATTTCGATACACCGTTTTACAAACTCAAGAACCGTACATCATAACAAACATATAAACTATGGTAGAACTAGTTTATGGCATATAATACTATCTTTCGGATGACAAGAGTACATTACTAAATAATTATTTAAGTATAATTATTTTTACTCTACAAGACATACATTAAGATTCAAGTACAAGAGAACATAACACTACACGTAAACTATTTAATACAGGGTTGTGAGACACCACTTCAATTGTACCCTTCGGGGTGCGGGCTAAATCCTATCATAGTATAACCAGAGTCTCCTGGAGGGAGAGCGTGAGATTTTTGAATAGATCTATTCGGGATTGACTATCCCACACCTGAACTTCTAGCTACAGTTAGGCAGGCATGCCTGGGGTGACAAATGCCATAACGTCCGACGCCTGAAGAACGTCGTAGAGGTCACTAGGTCATATCAAGCATGGTTATACGAACTCACACCATTATAAACTAACCTTTTATTTACGGGATTTCATTCTTCATTACTTTTATTTTCATTAATAGAACTACTTCATACTACAACTGGAGGATTCCAGGAATTTCAACTCATGGTTTTATTTTAAGTAATAAAACTACTATGCATACTGGTGGTAACCATAGTTTTCAAACAGATCATTCTATACATACTGGTGATAGCCAGGGTTTTCATACAAAAGGGTTTTCATTCAAGACAACATTATACAATACATCTAGTGGTAACCAGGCATACGAATTAATACTTTATGGAACACCGTAACAAACACACACGTTAGAAAATATTGGATTTTCTTGGAAACATACAAATATTTTCACAGAATTTATCAACAGGTTTTCATTTCAAAAACATGATTTATGAACTCACCAGCTTAATGTTGATACTCTTTTCAAAACCGCTTGTATTCTCAGAAAATCAGTAGACAGATACTCCCGCAGCTTTTGAGAAGACGAAGTGTATAGAGTCACGTCTTTTTATATTTTGCTATACTTTTGGTGTATACAAATATGTATCAAACAAGATGTAAATATTTTACTTATTCAATGTAATGGTTGTGTTTACTTTGATTACTATGATGCAATTGTTGTGATACTATACATGACGTCCTCCACCCCCGTACGTTTCCGCCGTTTCGGTTTGGTGGTGTGACAATCTCTTACGGTTTGTCTAACCGTAACATGGGGACTTTCTTTCACGGATCTCCATATTTCTTCACCTTTTTCCTTACCAAGTAAGAACTTTTTCATTCTTACTTTCCAATGATCATATTCTTCAACAACTAGCAGTGGGGCATGAGAAGAGCAACCCACGCTATTTACTGTTTGCATTGAATACATGTGTTGAGAATTAGGAGTAGCTATTGAAGTTAAGATATTATAGAGAAGAAGTGGTATATAGAAGAACTTTTATCTAAACACAGAATTGACTAAAGTACCAAGGTAATTTCAAATCAACTATAATATATTCTTATGGATTCAAAGGAAAACCATTCAAGCTCTTATACCAATTGTGAGAACAAATAATAAATGCGCAAGGACAAGGTTTCAAAACTCAAACCTTGAGTTAATCTTTAAGATCAACGTCTGCTCTTAATAAAGGTTCCATTTGAATCTGGTAATACTAGTTAAGACTTGAAGATGATATTCAGCAAAGTATTCAAGATAATAAATGAAGAAAACTTAGAGTATAATCAATGAAAAGATATTTGAGGAACAATAAGAATGTTGTGAAAGAACTTTGACTTGAAGGAAAAGTGAATATGACGTGAAGAGAATATTTTCTATTCTTAATATAAAACTTGAATTGTTCACTTGTATTAATGGTGAAAACGTTCACTCCTTATATAGTGGAGGAGGAACATGATACAAACTGAGAAACATTCCTAGGAATGGATAATACTCAGTGTTTGACAAACTGATATCCAAAAGATACATAAAAAAATGTCCTATGAACTATTACATCACTAGTAAAACAGAAAAAACATTAAATGCTTAGACAAGCTTCTGATCTCGGAATTTCCTTTCATCTTGGAATGATCTTCATCTAGGAACTTCTACACATCTCGGACTTATCTCAGACTCAAATGACATCGGAACTTGAGTGATTGCTAGAGGTTCACTTTTCATGTTTCAACATATCTTTGTATAGGTCAAAGCAATCTGGATGCATGTGGTACAATCATTTAAGTTATTATTTGACAAGTAAAGGGTATAAAATAACACTAGTCCATGCGTATCTATTAAGACAACAACATCCGAATATGTGATCATTGTTGTCTATGTTGATGATCTAAACATTATTGGGACGAATAAATCCTTGAAGTGATTGAACTTTTGAAGAAAGAATTTGAAATGAAAGACCTTGGAAAAACCAAATATTGTCTTGGTTTATAGATTGAGCATATGTCTAACGAAATACTTGTGCATCAATCAAATTATACACAAAGAGTCTTGAAACGTTTCAATATGGACAATGCCAATCTTTTAAGCACTCCAATGGTTGTTAGATCATTAAATAGTTACAAAGATCCATTTTGTCCCTATGAAGAAAATGAAGAAGTCCTTGGTCTAGAAGTACCATATCTTAATGCAATTGGGGCCTTTATGTATCTTACCAATTGTACTAGACTTGACATTTCGTTCACTATAAACTCTAGCAAGGTTCAGTTCATCCCCGAAAAAAAAAGACATTGGAAATGGATCAAGCATATTTTTTGATACCTTCTAGGAACTACTGATTTAGGGTTAGTTTTCATAACAATTCAAAGCAATGCTTGATTGGTTATGCAGATGCAAGTTATATGTCTGGCCCTTATAAAGCTAGATCTCAAACTAGATACATATTTATTAATGTAGGTATTGCAATTTCCTAGCATTCTCAAAAGCAAACATTTGTTACCACATCATCAAATCATGTTGAAGTAATTCACTAAATGAAGCTAGTAAAGAATGTGTATGGTTAAGATCGATGACACAACTCGTTTTAACTTCATGTGGACTTGAGAAGGATATAGGTCCAACTTTAATATATGAAGATAACTCAACATGTGTCACTCAAATGAAAGAATGATATATCAAGAGCTACAAGACAAAACATATACCTCCAAAGTTCTTTGAATATACTCAAGAGCTTATAAAAGACCATCAAGTCGAGATAAAATATGTTCAATGTAGCAACAATGCAACAAACCTTTTTACGAAGACACTTCATACTACAATCTTCAGAAAACATGTCTATAGCATCGGAATGAGGGGGAGTCAACTATACACTGCACTCTTTTTCCCTTCGCTAAAGTTTTTATTCATTGTGTTTTCTTTAACAATGTTTTTAATGAGGCAATACTTCAAAGTTGAACTCTGATTTAAAATGATGTGATCCAATGGGGAGTGTTGTAAATTATTGGATAACAATATTTTCTACCTTAATATCAAATACCAAATATGTGTAAGAGTTATTTTCAACTTTAATGACAAATATGTCAAACATGTGTAAGAATTCATTAATTATGTCTAGTGATTTTACTAGTATAAGTAACACCATTATAAATGGAAAATACATACCAATTTGAATACATTTACAATTGATCAAATTCTCTTCAAATCTTTTTTTTCTTTCCTAAAATTTTATTTTAGTTTTACTAATCTTGTTTTAGTTACATCAAATTTATAAAACTTGAATGATAAAAGTTCAAGCAATCGAAAAGAAGCTTTTTTTTTCTTTTTTCGGAAAAAAAAACTACAAATACCATTATAAATGGAAAATACATACCAATTTGAATACATTTACAAATGATCAAATTCTCTTCAAATCTTTCTTTTTCTTTCCTAAAACTTTATTTTAGTTTTACTAATCTTGTTTTAGTTACATCAAATTTATAAAACTTGAGTGATAAAAGCTCAAGCAATCAAAAAGAAGCTTTTTTATTTTTTTTTGAAAAAGAAAACTATAAAAATCTAGTATTGATGTATTATGGATACTCTATACTTCGATTATTCAATCTAACATTTCCTACTTTCACGGTACAAATGCTTTTCTATTTACAGAAAATAATACATTACAACAATTAAATAATTTAATTTTCAAAAAAAAAAAAAAAAGAGCAAACCCTTCACTGAAGTCATCCCTAACAAAAAGCTCTGTATATACAAATTCGTGGCCAAAATTCAATTAACAAAAACTTTGGTGTCAAAATTTTAATTATTTGAATCTGCCACATAGAAATTGCTGGCATCATCTTACTCTCATCCACCTGCTTGAATCACTCCAGTTGGGCCCATCATCCACCGTCAGCCGCCGTAATCTGGTCGCCGAAAAAATCACCGGCAACAAATTTGAGAGTTCCGGTGATGGTAATTGCGTCATTTCCAACAATTCCGCTGATTCCCAAACTGTAAAGTCAAAAGGGTCTCTTGGGGAGATTGAATGGCTACAAATACAATCTTCTGTTTCTACCTTCGATACAAAAGGATGATTCAGAAGCATCTCAGCCGTCCATCTTTTCGTCGGGTCTTTCAAGAAACACTTCCCAAGAAAATCTTTTCCTGCAGATGATAAATTCCCAGGAATCTCCGGGATTTCTGTGCCAACGCCGATTTTAAACAAAAGGGCGCCAATGTCAGAGCAAAACCACGCCGGATTTCCGGTGATCATCTCCGCCACCAAACAACCAAGTGCCCATATATCCGACGGCGGCTCCTGTTCACCACTAACAACCGTCTCCGGCGCCATGTACATCGGTGTGCCTCGAATTTCGTATTTTGACTTTGACTCTCCGGCGACCTTCTTCGCTAACCCAAAATCAGCGATCTTTACGTCGGCGTTATCACCTTCGGAGAGTAACAGAATGTTTTGGAGCTTGATGTCGCAATGAACAAACCCATTCCGGTGAATAAACTGAAGTCCTTTCAAGATCGAATTTGTATATCGCCGGACTTCCGACAACAGGAAGTTTCCAAAAATCTTCAAATTGTAAGATAAATCGCCACCGGAAGCGTACTCCAATGCAATATTGTAAAGCTTGATGCCATTTTCGACGGTGAAACAGTCGCCGAAGCAATGAATGATCTCCGGGCAATTGGTAAGCTCAGTTAAGATATGTTTTTCGTATATCAGTGAAGAAGAGTGAGACACGCCACATGATTTGATCGCCATTAATGGCGGAAGATTTGAGTTGTGGGTTGTGGGTTGTGCTAGACTTATGGTAGCAAAGCTTCCATGGCCGATCGTCTTGCCTCTTACCCACTCCATTGTGAATTGAACGATGGGGTGTTTGAGAGGTGGAAGTATTTATAGGTCATCGGAGTGTGCAAATTGCAAAATATGATCTTTATTTGGATTTGCATTTGTATTATATTCGCCGACTTTCTTATTTAAGAAAGGATAGCTTTATTGTTAAGAAAATCTAACTAAAATAAGCAATAACTTATTTTATGTTTTATGTATATTTTAGTCGACATTTGTGACTGTGATAATAATCATGTTTCATGTATATTTTAGGTCGACATTTGTGACTGTGATAATAATCATGTTTTATGTATATTTTTGGTCGACATTTGTGACTGTGATAATAATCATATATAAATAACTTTTTATATTTGATATGTTTTGCTCGTGGATATCACTATAGATAATAAGTCATTGAACGAAATAAAGTTACATTGGACACTTATAGTTCTTTTTTACACAAGTACTCCCACAATCTCATTTGCATAATCTGCCTTGGCACAATCTACCGTGGAACCATTTGCATTTGGCAGTTTTACCATCATATGCCCAAAATTGGACTTATGCAAATTTTAAACCGGTCTTGTATCTTTTGTCCAAGCTTTTCCGCTACATCACAATCACAAGGAGCTTAGTTTCTAAACCCTAATTATTAGTCATATCCATGGTCAAACTAATAGTATATTAGGCTTGACGGAGTGACTCGGTAAAGAGCTCGGGATAGCCTTGTTGGCTTCGGTGCACACGGCACAACGAGTTCGGTGAGCCGAACTCAGCGAGGGCACTCGGCTAGTGTCCACCGATGAGAGAGAAAACATTTAATTTTAATTTATTATTTTTCCCCCTTTTATCACTTAATCAATTTTTTCATTTAATACCTTATTAAAAAAAAAAAAAAAAAAAAAAAAAAAAAAAACACTTCATTTTCAAAATATAACCGTTTCTTATCTTCATAATTTTAAATTTTAAACCATTTATCATCTACTATAAATAACAACAATCTTCTTCATCTTCACCACATTTAAATCTTCTTAATTCAATTCCCTTACCTTCTTATTTTCCATCTTCTTCAAAACTTTATCGCTGAAAAATGGCTCGTGTTTGATCAATTGATGAAGAAATGATATTAGCTTGTTCATGAGTTGATGTAACAGAAGACCCAATCAACATTAACGTCACCACGACTACTTTCAAGAGGAAAGTTTCTGAAAGATACAACCGCAAAGCCGCTCTACCTCGAAGTAATGATCAAATCTTCTCCAAATGGAGACATACAAACGCAACTTCAATTCCGTTTAACAATGTGTTTCATAAGGTGATGAGTGAAGCTGAGCAATGTGAAAATGAAAATACTTTGTTTGTGAATGCTCTCGATGCTTTCCATGAAAAAACTAACAAACATTTCCGACATGTTGAGTTTTGGCAAATTGTGACACGGTGCGACAAATGATGTCCACTTTAAGCTCGTTTTCTTCTAATTTCTAGTGGGTTGTGTGTTTTAATTTCTAGTTATGTTGTGTGATTAGTTTAATTTCAAGTGTGTGATTTCTTTTCAAGTTATTGAAATTTAAGTTTTTATTAAAATAATCTGTTATTAAAATTCTATGGTGTCATTATAGGTTTGTTGTAATTTCTTTTGAAGTTTAATGAAATTTTAGTTTTAAAATAATTTGTTTAAATCGATTATTTGTAATATAAACTATTTTTAGAAAAAAAATAGCATGACAAACATCATAATACACGCCCTGTAAATGGCAAAATTTTGATTCATTGTGTTGGGGCAAATCCTAGGTGACACCTACGTGGACCTTGGCAACCTTGGCACCACTCTCTTTAGCCTCATGCAAGATCATTGCTAATTCCCCTTTAACAAGTGTACCTAATTCAAATTACTTATTATATCTAATTCCAATTATAGTCAAAGGACAAAGTCACAAAAAATAAATAAATAAATAAAATAAAATAAAAAAGACATTCCAACCCTTCCCTTTATTTTAATGTAATCTCAAAATTCACTAAAAAAATGAACAAACTTTATCTATATATAAATAGATAATATTTAGAAAAGTCTTTAAACTTTAATTGTAATAACATGTATATATAAATAGATAATTTTTAGAAAAGTCTTTAAACTTTAATCCTAATAACAAAAAAATCACCCCTAACTTTTTTTAACGTTTAAGCCCAGTATAGCGGTAACGTTTGAAAAATGGCCTTTGTACCCGGTCAACGCTTACGTTTACCGGTTTGTTGGGCTTAATCGTAAATAAACAATTAATGATGACTTTTTCGTTAATAGGTTCAAAGTTTAACGACATTTTTGAAGATTTTCCTATATTTTCTACTAAACTATTACGAGTAATTTCAATTTATTTCACTAACTTTTATCTTAAGAACAAAAAAACATAATTAGAATTTTATTTTGTTTATTTGATAACCAAACCTGTTAAACTGAATCTTTCGTTTAATTTAATTACACAGTTTAAAATTATATTAAAAGTTGATTACACGGGCATGTTACACTTTCGAGACTACATCCGGGTTAATGCTTCAAGGAGTGTATAATTAGTATATATAATAGAATAGATTTGTAATATATATATATATATATATATATATATATATATATATATATATATATATATATATATATATATATATATATATAGGGTTAGGTTAATTTGTTTTTACTAATTATTGTGAGCCAGAATGCACAGATCTGGACTACGGGATGGAATATAATCAAAGATCATGATCTGAGAGTCTATGATATTACAATAGGGTAACATGCACCATATAATCACACAATTTTCAGCATAAGGGTATTTTGGTCAATTTACCTATATTAAAAACGGAAATTTCCGGAATTTAAGGGATAATTAATTCTTTTATTTTAAAATTTTTGAATATTTTAAATTAATTCAGATTTAAAAATCGATTTTATTCTGTCAGAATGACAGAATGCCAACCATAAACTAGTAAATATATTTTCGATTTTATTCTTGCAGAATACATTTTCAATGCAGTTATATTTGATAATTGACCTGATTTAAGAGCAATATATTATTCATATACATCCAACTTGGGTCTATGATTTTATTCTTAATATACATTCGAAATTAAATACAAATTCATATATATTCTTACAGACTAATATCCTTATATATTTTAATATAGTTATACATATTCTAATAGAATATCATCAAACATGAATAAAATTGTTAAAAAATAGCATTCTTGAATATACAATTATTGAACAAATGCACTTGATCATCTTCAATGGTCCATATAATCAACTTGATCTTCACATATATACTTGTTGTTGAACTCGATTCCAAATATTTCTCTTGTATGATTAATATTGAATTCCTTCTCCATGCAATTCTGAAAGAATAAGATACATTACTCGCTAGTATTACTAGTTAAACAAATATACTTGTTGTTAACAAACATTCTCAAAGACATTCTAACAGAATGCATTTATAGAAATAAATTCTAATAGAATACATTACAGAATGCACTTAAATCATAGTCTTTTCTTCTATATGCATAAACATTCTAAAGCATGTATAAATGTATTCTGTTAGAATTACTAGCAACACATGTTTTATGTAATATTTATATTCTCACAGAATGAAAGTTGTGAATTGCACCAAAACCGATAAGTAAAAATTGAAGAAATTGAACAAACTAATGAGTAAGTGCAGAAAAAATAACAAGTTTTAGACATGATAGCTCATACAAAATTCAATGCTTAGATTGAATTGGAACTTAAGCATTGGAATCCAAGATTTCATTCTAATAGAATTGGAATTCGAGATTCCATTCTGGCAGAATTACCCTCATCATATTAGATACCAAGGCCTTCTATGACAATTTTTTCGATAATCAACTTACCCAAACAACACTTACAGCCATTAGGCACACGAATGTGAAGTAATTTTTCCTCCCTACACAATTATTCAACCACTGCACAAGAAATAATTTAGAATTAAAATTAAGTCATGTGAATTTACATATAAACAATGAAAAAAATTGTAGAAGATTTTTCATATGTGCGTTTCCATTTCTTTCATTTTGGAATTTGGATCTTACCCTACAATGATGATCAAACCCATCAACACATTTATCACAACTTCTGCAGTGTTTGCTATACTTTCGAACCTATAACAAATTAAAAACAAGATTTTAAATAATTTGTCCAGAAAATCAAAATTCATATCATAAGAAGTTGAGTATACAAAATACGACTTCAGAAATCGAATAAAGTTTAATAAAAAATGATTTTTTTTACAGAAAATAGATACCTCAGAAAATAAAGCTTCTTCCTCCCCTCCTTGTTGCATATCTTCATCTTTTCTACAATCCTCTATTACAATACAACCACAAAAGAATCCCCAAACTTTTGAACAACAACCTGAGCTACCATTATCATATATTCCTACATTCTAAAACCCAATCTTGCTAGCTTCTCCCAGATGATCCATTTCCTGATACCCAAAAAAAACATTTACTTCAATGATTACAAAACGGACAGGTCGGTCAACGGGTGGGTCAAAAGTCAAAACAATTTGGATCACTCACCGGGTACTTCGGTTCCATTATGGGATCTATAAGGTGATGCAATTGCCCTGTTTGGGTCAATTAGAACGCTAGGATCATCAGGATTGATAGCTGTGCATCTTACATAAAGGATAAATACACAGAGAGCCTGAACGATTGTAGGGAAAACACAAACACATAGCAGATCGAAGTAGCGAATTAAGCACAAAAACTGTACCTGAAAAGTGTGAGCAGGAAGTTCCCATCCATGTCGCATAGCCATGATCAATAAACGAAGTCAAAAAACTCAAATAGCCATGATCAATAAATGAAGTCAATAAACTCAAATAGCGGCGACAATCTTATTGATCGAGCAGTGGAAGAACAGATGGATTAAAATGGCGGTGTTGGTAGTAGATACGATGGCGGCAAGGGGTTTCAACGGCGACAATCACAGCGGTAACAATCAAGAGGGTAATCGA